ACTCATGTACAGTAGTGAGAACTTTCACACCCTACTGCCTTGTCTTCCTGTGTCAACGACCTCACCCCAATATGATCCAGGGCTTAGTTAACATGAGACTGCTGCAGACAGAGATTGCGTTGGATGACAGAACATTAATACATAATTTTACAGTGAAAATACATCATGCATGCCAGTTACCTGGTAAGCATGAAATCTAAACAAGGAGAATTAGTTGTTGAGTTTAAAATCCAAATGTATCAGGCTAAGATGCACCAATGCACCCAATATGATCATAAAATGGCACATCAACCTCTCCTCTGTACATCCCATATATGGGCATAGACAAAATTTGCATTTCTGCTTCTCTTTACAAAAAAGGAAGACACCAAGTATTTACTGAGTGTTTATTATATGCTGGACATTGTTTTAAGAGATTTGCATATGTTGCTATTTAAACCTTACAGCAGCCACAAGAGTATTTTATCCCAGTTGTATAAATGGGACACTTCAGTTCAGAAGTTTAGTGATTTGTCTGAAGCCACACAGTTGTTGGCACTGCACCCCAGGTCTGTTGGACTCCAAACACAGGCAGATTATCCAATAGGCAAGGTAAACATGGTACTTACCTTGCTTACCAGATCATCCATATTGAACAATTTCACATTTTTTCACCACATCAAAGATTCTGCTTCTAGGTATCGCTGGCATCTGTCTCTCTCCCAACCCCACAGCACCTTCCTACAGAATCAAAGTCTCTTTTCAAATTTACAGTCTCTGTCAGGGTGGGTGACCTGGTACTCAAGGTAAGCACAGGCTTACTTATGCTGACTTACTAATCGTAGTGAACAATTTCACATTGGTTTCACCACATCTTTGAAATTGTTTACTACAGATGATCCGGTAAGCATGGTAAGCACCATGCTTACCTTGCCTATTGGATAATCCGCCCCTGACTCCAAACCACAAGCTTCTTTTTTTCCATCAGCTACTCTCTGATTGATATATTGTTTCCTTCACTCTGCTTATATCTTCTGTGGTGCCATTTTTTTGGCTTGCGAGCTATTCTTTAAGTAACTGCGCAACTCAGACCTGATTGATTTTGTCTTGTTATAGCTAGGTTTCTGAAGGATGCTTCCTTTATCATTACATTTTCATTTACATCATATTCCTAATAATAAAAATGCTGATTAAAAGTTTAGTATCATGAGTAGCATATCATTCTCTCTATAAGGAATGGAAAATTAGAGCGGTTCCATGGATTTCCCATTACCACAGAGCTAGTAGTGGGGGAGCTGGTATTCAGATCAAGGTGTTCTAACTCAGGAGGCCGTGTTCTCACCCCGTGAAGCTACCCTGCCGTTCCACATGCCCATCCAGTCAATTCCAACTCATAGAGACCCTACAGGAGAGAGTAAAACGGCCCCCTTGGGTTTTCAACGTTGTACTCTTTACGAAAGCAGTGGAGTGGCTGGTGTGTTTGAACTGCTGACCTTTCGGTTAGCAGCTGAGTGCTTTAACGACTGCGCCACCAAGACTATAACACAGATGGTACTGAGGGAATAACATTCTGCTACTCATGGTCTAGACTGTAAGCTCCTTGAGGGCATGGAGCATCATCTTGTTACATAAGAGGTACTCCATCAATGTGTACAGAGCTAAAGAACTTAGTTCCACCAACACAGCAATCACTATGGATGCACATTCAAACATACATATTTTCAGAAAGTTGGTTTGGAGTTGTAGTAGTTTAATAAAAAATAAAAAGGAAATATATTTCAATAGGAGTGGTTTTCACATTTCTTCAAGGCAAAAAGGTTGAATAAAGTTTCTATAGGCCTTCAAGAAATCTTAGCTACTGGACCAAAAAAAAAAAAAAAAGTAAGTAGATAATAGACAAGATAAAATCTGATGTGAAGTGAGTTTTAAAAAGATCACATTTACACACTGAAAATATTTTACCAATGTATAGAATTTTATATGAAAACCTATTACTTTAAACTCTAAAACTTAAAGTGGACAGTTAGTCAATTAATACTAATTGCTTTAAGAAGTAGGGATGTTGCTGTTATTGTTGTTAGGTGCCATCAAGTCGG